CTATGGGCTGTCACTTAGATGTGTGCATTTCTTGTTTAATATTGCTCACGCCATGATCGAATGAACATGTATGTATGCTGATCAATATTCCTATGCTTGTCCACTTTATCACGTTTCACGTCATCCTTGATTTCACATTATTGAAGGTTGCTGTGCCGCTCACCTTAGAACTGTGGTAAAATTAAGTTAGCTGTACACCATTTTACTCACATGTATCTCTTTATTTCTGTCTTGGAATTGTTGCCTTCTATGATTCCTTTTATGCTAATATGAAGATTATTAGTCTCTAAATATCAGTGTGATGCAGGTACCTTTATAGAGGTTTATCTACAGGGGATAGGCCAACATGTGATCAGTGCCTCAAAATTCATGAAAAACTGACTGAGAAGGCAGGCCTAGGCTGTATATTGCGGTCCCTTGCTGATACTGTAAACACTGTATGAGCTTTGTCTCTGCTGCTGAGGGTGGATATAACAAAGTTCTCTTCTTGCTCTTTACTGTGATAAATCACATCAGGAAAATTAGCTGTAATTGTTAACTAGATGTTTTACATTTTCTCTTTCTTTGCCATTAGGCAATTTCAGTTAGAGCATCATTGTACCCTAACTAGAATGGCGGAAATAAATGTGTATTATGTTGGTTTTCAAGTCTTTGTACTTGACGGTTATATTTTTTTTTTCTAAGTGATTTCTGTACCATCAGAGCTGAATAAATGTCTTTTTGACACCAATTATTACACTTCCAACTTATGGAATGCAAAAAACAAAAAAAAATTAAATTTCTGCCTCTTTGCCGAGGGCAATGACCAAGGCCCTCGGCAAAGAAGGGTCCTTTGCCGAGGGCCGTCCCATTGCCCTCGGCAAAGATTCATTGGAAAAATTCTGGAACATTTCTTTGCCGAGGGTCTGCGGGGAAGCCCTCGGCAAAGATTTTTCAAAAAAAAAAAGAATAATTCTTTGCCGAGGGCCGTCCCATTGCCCTCGGCAAAGATTTTTTGGAAAATTTCTGCAATATTTCTTTGCCGAGGGCCATGGTTAGAGGCCCTCGGCAAAGATTTTTCAAAAAAAAAAAGAATAATTCTTTGCCGAGGGCCCCCGGAGACGGCCCTCGGCAAAGACTCCATCCCAGGCGCCAGCGCCGTGACGGTTGCTTTTCTTTGCCGAGTGCCGGTCCAGCCCTCGGCAAAGGCTTTGCCGAGTGCCCGATAAACGGCTCTCGGCAAAGACCCTCTTCGCCGACTCAAAATTCACCGAGAGCTCTTTGCCGAGGGCCGCCCTCGGCAAAGCCTTTGCCGAGGGTTAATGGGCCTTTGCTGAGGGCCTCAGGCCCTCGGCAAAGAGGCCGTCTCCAGTAGTATATTCCACTATACTGCACTACATCCACCGGTGCAAATGAACGACCGCATGCAGGCTGAGGCGGTGCGGCCGATTCAGGGTGAGTTCGGTTGTCAGATGGAGGTTGCATTTGTATGTCCTACATGGGTAGGAATTAGTTCTAAGTACTTTATTATTTTTACCATGCCAAAGGCCTAATACTTTATTGACCGTCAAACTTTGGAACCAAATAAACCGACATGCTACATGTAAAACATCCAAACTACAAAATACTATCTTACCATGCCTTGATCAGCAACGTTAGGCAAGGCTTGTTTAGCTTGCCTCTCCTGGCAAAAGAACCAAAACATGCTGCAACGTTTGTGTCCGGCGCTTAATTAGCTATTCAGCCTGCTCGCGTCTGCTACTTATTGTAACCTTTTTGACTTGCATGCAACCTGATGAACCAGTCGATGAGAGTGAGACCGTCCCAACCATTCCGCCACAGCACAACAAGCCAAGCCACATGCGCGCGCGGCCAGTCTCCTGTAGTCCAATTCCAGCAGTGCGTGTCGTTTTCGCCGACACGAAGAAACGAAGGCCTGTGCGCCGTTCTTTCCGTTTCCAAAGATGAACTGAACTGAACTCAATTGAACACGGAGCAAGACTAGGACCGCATCGGGAGCATAATAAGCTCCCCGCCGCACTACTGATGTGACACCTTCACAAACTTTTTGTGAAGCAACCGGAAACTTTTGCCAAAAATTATAATCCGACAAATCAAGTATGGTAAGTAAAGCAACCAAACATTCGAAAAGAATTCCAAGAATACGAATCACCAATGCATCCGTCCTCTTCAAAAAGTGTGCTGCTGCCTAAAAACTCTACATGACGTAATTTTGCGCGTATTCTTTCAGAGAGAAACAAAAATCGGTACACGTGTGGCGCCAACGGTCGTGAAAAAAAGTTCAGGACACAGTTTCTAGTGTGCTCGGTGATGACTGCACATTGGCTTGTTTGCACAGACAAGCCCAGGGGCGGATTCACGGCCCGGGCTGGGGGGGCTGCAGCCCGGGGCGGCGCTAAAAAATACAAGGAACAGGTCTTCAGAGAGCAGCCCAAAACAGCCCGTTAGCCCCCCTCCGCAGCCTCCGGATCTGTATTATTAGTGAATGGCTGGTATGATTTTTAGTCCTATGTTATTTAGCCCCCCTCGTTACTCGTTTCTGGATCCGCCACTGGACAAGCCTAACCCTGACTCGTCATCGTAACGGGTCCCGCGACAGAACCGGGGCCACCAAACAGAGTCCGCCCAAGTCCACTATTGTAAATCGTAGACAATAAATAGTCTTCGATCACCACTATTCCCGTGCTGACTCGTGACAGCTTTGATCAGATTCCTGAGTTTTTTTTAGCCAAGACAAACTAAACCGGCCAAGAAAGCAACCAAAGTTTATTCGAAAAGAATCCAAGAATACCAACGTACATCTTCTCTTAGAAAAAGGTTTTTTTTTGGGTAAAGGGTTGGATTTTATTAAAACAGAACTTATACAAACAACCCCTTGACTGGACACCCCTGAATTAAAGAAAAATACAAACAGATCCTTCGCAGGAGCATCCAGCGCCCATCGCCGTCGTCGACCATCGTTGCCGCAGCCCGGATTTTCTCCACCTCCCGCAGTAAAGATCATCCAAGATGAAGATCACGGTCGATACCTGAATCGACAAAGAGTCTTCGAATTTTAACAATGCCATCAATAGCATGCCAAAGGCGTGCTGTTTATCCGTTGAACGCCACGGCCAATCGTCGTTTTCATCGGGTTCTGACGCCGATCGCCTCGCCGGCCAACCCCAATCAACAAACAGCAAACCCACAAAGGTGTATTACAAACCTCCAGTTTCCAACAGCAACAATGTCGGTGATTTGAAGTCTGGTGATGCGATTGACATTGTGGGCACAACCAGAGAAGAGAAGCTCACAGGAGATTCGAGAACCAATGCATGAGAAAACACCACCGAGGAAACCATCGTCGATGCTGAACGGCATGAAGCACCGTCGTTGAGCACCACAAAGCCCATCAACCATCGCCAAACACCCTCCACCACCGACACAAATGCCACCTATAAATCCATGGAGGGAGCAAAAGATTCCCGATGGATTCGTCACCGGGAATACACCCTACCCTAACTCACATAGGGGATAGATAACATACCACATCTTCTATGCGGTAGGGGCGCCACCGGAGGACACTACCACCGACGACGTCGCAGCCACATCGGAAGATGAGCACGGAGCACACATCCACATCGATGAGGCCACCGATGGGGAGAAAACTAACCCTAAGCTACTGAAACTTAAGCTAATACGAGAGGGAATGTACACCGGTCGTCGATTCTGCGACTCCTCTACACCTCCGGCACCGAAGATGCCGCCAGAGGCGAGGAGATGGACCGCGGGAAGCGAATCACCCTGCTTTGGCCCTGGTGACTGTAGCTGGGTCGGACGAAGGGTCGAGAAGGCTGCGCATGGTCCTTTGAAAAAGGTGGTAGCACTACTACATGTTGTGTAGTACATGTGGCGTAGCAAGATTTTCGTGCCGAAAAGAGGCATGCCCGGCCCAGATTATCCTTTTCTTACATCTATTCCTTTTCTTTCCAAGAAACTCGGCCTGCTGGGCCTGTTCCACCCCAGGCCGCTACACCAAACCTCGGCCCAGATCGACTCCACCCCGCTCCTCATCGTCGGGTGCTCAGATCAGTGTTGCCGCTGCAAGTAGGAGTAGGAGTAGGGAGAGACAGACCACAGACAGCGATGGTCCATTGCTTGCGACGGAGACAGAGACGACGAGCCAGGGTTCGTTTCCCTAATGCCCAAGTCAAAGTACAGTACAGTGCTCTCTTTCTCTTACCACCGTTGCCAAAACTCCATATGCCGGCGCCGCCCGTTTCAGTTTTTGACGTAGACTGGCAGACGCACCTACATCTCGTCGACGGACAGGGACAGGTTGTTCCGGCGGCTAGGGTTCACACCCACCGCAGCTTCCTCGTAGGTACGCTGCCTGCGAGCCGCCGCCCGCGGCCAAGATTAGTGCACTACCGCAGACTCGCAGACTTGCACCGTTGGTCAGTTAGTTAATGACATGACCTGCACTGTCTGCCGGTGTTCCCATCGTCACCGCAGGCGTTGATCGCGCTCCGCTAGTCAATCCCCTGTTCCGACGACGACGACGACGAGAGCTTCTGAATTCTTCTGATCCGGCAGTGCGTGTGCGTGTCGTTTTCGGCAGCATGGCCGTTCTTTCTCTGTGTCCAAAGAGGTAAAGATGAACTGAACTGGACTGAACACAAAGCAGGAGGACTAGGACAGCACCGGAGCATAATAAGCACCGTCACAGTTCAGATTCGAAAATCTCTTTCTGAAGCAGTCGGATGCTTTCGCCAATTATTAAAATTGAATCAAAAAGAAAGAATCCAAGAATACGAATTTCGAATGGATCCTCTCCAAAAAGTGGCACACCTAATTAAAAGCCTAAAATTTCTACATGACGCATGCGCGTATTTTGTTTAGATGGGAAAAAAAATGGGTACACGTGTCAACTAACGTGACGAAATCCGGCCAAGAATTCTCAGTGCGCTCCACTCCAGATTGGCTTGTTGGCTTGCGGAGACACAAGCCTGACATCGACGTCATCGTGAGGGGTCCCGCGGCGGCGCCGGCCACCACCCCGAGTCCGCCCAAGTCGCCGGCGGCGGCGGCGACGGGTACCCGGTCCCGCCGTCGCTCGAGGAGCTGCTGCTGCCCTGCGTCCACCACTGACGGTGATGACCCCCGGCGCCGCTGCTGTCACCTCCTCCGCCTCCAAAGCTGAAGAGCACCGGGAACGACGGCGCCGACGAGGAGCCGGACGCCGCGGGCGGCCTGACAGCGCGCGCCGCCGCCGCCGCCTGGTCGTAGAGGCGCGGCGTTGGCTCGGCGGGGCCCTGCAGGAACCTGGCGTACTCCGAGTACTCCCGGCCGCCGCCCGCCAGCGCCAGCGCCTGCGACTCCAGCAGCGCCTCGGGCCTCTGCGGCGGCGGCGGCGGAGGCGGAGGAGGAACCGCCGCCGGCGGCGCCGACACGAGCGTGGCGGACTCCGGGAAGTTGAGCTTGGCGCGGCTGCCGCGGAACCTCAGCGCCGCCTCGTCGTAGGCCCGCGCGGCGGCCTCCGCGGTGTCGAAGGTGCCCAGCCACACGCGCGCCGCCTTGTGCGGGTCCCGGATCTCCGCCGCCCACTTCCCCCACGGCCGCTGACGCACGCCGCGGTACCGCCTCCGCGGAGTGATGGTGTCGGTGGAGGACGGCGACGGGAGCTGCTCACTCGGCCCCGGTGGTGACGCCGCCGCAGGCGAGTGCTGCACCGGAATCCCTGCCGCCCCGTGCTCTGCTCCGGAAAACAGAGGAACAAGAATATCGCAATTAGTCACCACTGACCTGCTCAAAGATCACCTTTTTATTACTCCACCTAATCAAAGGAATTACTGTGGGTCACAATTCACGACCCAACGCAGGCACGCAGTTAACCAAAGATGTCTTGCAATGGTCACCTAATCAAAGGAATTACTAGGTGCATGTCTAGAGCTGGAGACCAGAACTCGAGGTTTTGGTGAACATTGCAAGACATCTTTGGTTAGCTCTAATGGTTTCAATTCTATGGCGATGGTTCTCTTGTCCCCTGAGCTCACATATATATGGGAAGTAGACTCGGCAAAGGACAGTATCGTATGCCCTAGTAGGTTACTCTCTAGAGGTACAAGTAGCACTACTGAATATGTTCTGTTAGATCTTGTTTGGCAACACTCCTGTTAGCTTAGCTTTAGACCTTTAGTTGCAGTGGTTCTCCAAGGAGAAAGTGAAGCTTGCCAAAAGAACTAGTGTGACTAGATCCCAGTTTCATTCTTAGGAGAGACAAAGTGAAACGGTTCCGTGTTATACTTCCTCCGTTCTCAAATAAATTAATTCCTAAAATTCGTATTGATCAAACTTTTTTAACTTTATATAAAAGAGTAACACCATGACATAAAATGAGTATCTTATGAAAATATATTCTATAAAAAATCTAATGATACTAATTTCATACCATAAATTTTAGCGGTTTTTTTTAAAAAATTAGTTAAAATTTAAAAAGTTTGACTTAAGACAACTCCAGTAATTGATTCTCTAGGGACAGAGCGAGTATATAGCATCAACGGTCCTTTTTTTTTTTGAGAATTGATACGGTCCTTTTAGCAAGTAGTCAGTTTTCGCAAGTTTTTCCATGCTGAACGGAAGCGAGTAGTCCGTATATATGCAGTACACCCCACAGGTGATGCCAACAAACCGCGTGTTCGGCTGGGATGAAGTAAAAATCTAATTCATTTCATGGTAAATCGGATTTTTTTTAAAGAGTTTGACTTATGATATTTAGGAATTGATTCCTTCGGGGAGAGAGCAAAAAAGCATCAACGGTCCTTTTTTTTTTGAGATTTGATGAAAAAAAAAAGTAATCCAGCCAGCCCATCTTTACCAGCCGAACACAATTCCATGCCGTGTAGTACGTACTATGTAGTTTTCGCAAGTTTTCCCATGCTGAACGGAAGCGAGTGTACGTACTACGTAAATAAATAAAGAAAGGAACGAAAGAAAATGAGAAAAGAGCAAGAGCTCTGGGCGCCGATGGAAGAACAGAGCAACGGCCAGGTGCACGTCGCTGACAGCTGCTGCTCTGTTTCGGAGCGAGAGGAGGGACCAAGAAGATGCAGAGCATATACGCACGAATGGTCAAACGAGGGAGCGTGCGCTGCATCGATCGGTTACCGTGAGGTGCGGCCGGCGCACGACGAGAGGAGGACGGCGGCGGCGGCGTTACGTCTCCGGTGTCGTAGTAGTCGCTCCACCGCTGCCCTTCCGCCGGCGACACATGCTGCTGACGGACACTAGCCGGCGCTGGCACCGGCACCGCTGCCCCGCCGGCGACGACCGCGGCCAGCGCGTCGACCATCATGGACGCCTCCCGCCTGCGCTCGTACCGCGACAGCATTCGCCACGCCTGCTGCTGCCCGTCCTCGTCGTCCTCCTCGCCGCCAGCGGAGAGCCGCGACGGCGTCCCTCGTCCTCCTCCCTCCGCGTTCGCCACCCTGGGCGTGCAGCACATGAACGCACAAGGCACGATGACCTTGTGCTTCCCTCCTCTCGTCTAGCTCGTCTGGAGTCTGGACGACGACCAGCTAGCGCCGCTATGTGCGTGTGTATATATATATAGGCGGCGCATGGGCACGTGTCCGGCCCTCGAGTTTCCACGCCATTTTTGTGTGCTTTTCGGTTTCTGGACCGAAAGGCAGCTCCGCCGTCGTGCCTACAGTGAGCTAGCGCATACGAGAGGTGCAATGCATTTGGCCACGCACGGCACGGCGCGCGAAGAATCCCTTTTCAGTTTTGGGCTCGGTTCTGTTTGTTCGTTTCCTTCGTCCGTACGGCACGTTCGTACGTTGGCCCTCTTCCGTACTTTTTGGATGGTTTTTTTAATTGAAACAGTATTTTTTCTCTCATAATAAATTAGTCGGAATAATATTTTGATTTTTTTTTCAACGAAACAAACGACGCGTATAGGTGAATCTGCACAGGAGCTGGATCCATGGTTCCCAAATCCCATCTGCAAGTTCGCTTCATCCAGACGGCACGGATGGATGGACGCCTCTGTTTGACGCGGAGCAGTGAGAACGTCTAGAATCCAGCGGTAAGGTCAGTTTTTTATTTTTTTTTATTTTGTTGGTTCATAAAAAAGATAGATTATGTACTCCGTTATGAATATGTATAAACAAAACGGAGGAGAATTCGGGAGCAAATTGGTTGCGAGTATATTAAACTGGAATTCGATTGTTCGCGGTATTCGGTGCGTTCACACACGGCCGACGACGCATGGTTGGCCACCACAAATTGGTCTGACCACACCTCCACAATTGTGCGTCCAGATTGGTGGTTGCGGTGCCACTGTGAATGTGATTAATTACCCGTGGTGGTCGCTGTATACTAATAACAATAATAATACTCGTAGTTGCTGTAACAATTAATACAGTAATTACCTACCAGCAGTTCTCCACCGCGACAAGCTAGCATAACCAGAAAGCTGTACCAAAATCCGAATTGGGCATTGCCTTTGTCCCAACGCGTTTTCTCCTCAGATCCAAGCCGCTTCCTTTATACTACACTAGTGTGAACGTGCTGACGTCTAGGGCCTACCACTAGTGTACTTTTTTCATCGAGGTCCCTTTCGTTTACTTGTCGCCTCCTGGACAGCTACTCTTCTTCTTTCTTCTCCGATTAGGCAAAACAAATTCATAGCTTTTTGTGTTTTTTTCTTTAGCATCATAGGTTAGTTCACAGTATCTATAAATCAACAATAATTTATGATACTAAATAATATCATTTTATTACTTAATTATGAAATATATTTTCATAGTAAACCTATTTAGAGACATAAATGTTGATGCTATTTTTATAAACTTGGTTAAATTTAAGAAAATTTGACTTGTCTCGATTGGAGAATTACTTTTTTTTTAAACGGATGAAACACGTATGTAGACCCATTTTACGTGAGGAGCTGAGTCAAATAAACAAATTTTGGACGCCCAGTGTTACATTTGCACGTGTTTAAATATGCTCATTAGGCCCTCGTTAAACATGCTGGAGATCCTCTCAAAATACTACTCTTTTTAGTTAAACCTATCCAGGTTGCCGACATATGATCGTCGTGACCTCGTGGGGAAGTTTGGTTACCCAAAGTTGCATGGAAGGCGCGGCATCAAATGGCCAAACGTAGAAAAAGTTTCAAGATTACATATATAATAATAAATAACGTTGGGACCAGCTGAACTATGATATTAATAAAAGTACTATTTCCGATAAACACGTTCCTGAGACTAACAAGCACCGGTTTTGTGTCTCTATCCATCTCACGTTATCCTATGATATCTTACACATTGTATAATTATCACATCGTTTTGATTGACTGCGTATGCCTGGATTTCTTGTTGAGCAGGAAAGAAGAACCGAGTAGGTGAATGCATGTTTCTTCAGAATTGACAAGAAAGAACCAGGATGGAGGAGGACCCGTGCAAGCAATACACGCGCTAGCTGGCTCCGCATTGACATGACTTTTTGCCACGCCTCCAAGAGTCTTTCTAATGAACCAGGATGAATTTACCGTAGATGAATCTTCTATCACTTTGAAAATAGAGTCATTTCTTGCTAAAACCAGGAGGAATAGAGAAGCAGCAGGGGTACATAGGTCAATTCGCATACCCTGTAGAGGTTCCAGGGACGCTACTGCGCTGGCATGCCTACTTGGCACGCCACATCAACCAAAGTGGCAAATACATAGGAGTTTCACTGTTTCGGATGGCAATTCTATAGATGCCATCCTAAAACTGGCAAATGGACCGGTGCCATCCGCACGTAAGGATGGCAGTAAGTTAAATATACGACCATCCTCCTCTTTGGCCACATGGTCAACAATGCCGGTCGGCTATATCATGCACACCTCGGCCCTCCGTCCCATGCCTTAGGCCTCCGGACGCCCCGTCCAGCAGGACACCGGCAGCAACATGCCCTACCCATCTCCGACAGTCACCTGGTCTTGCCATCCGCTACCGTTGCTGCACGATTGGCCAGCACGCGCGACTCAACTGTGGGCACTCGCGGCCAACTCATGGCCTGACCTTGCCTTGCCTTGCCTCCTGCCAGCCAAGGAAGCCCCATGGCCATGTTGGCCCTCACTATTCCGCGCCGCTCATGTTCCCACCCTGCTCGCCGGCCCTGCCACATCCACACATCGTCGCTCTGGCTCACCCACCCCTGCCCTCGCTCGCCCCTCCACACCGTCGATGCCCAGGCTCCCCACTGTTGCCAGCACAACAACAATAGCGCCGTCACCCGTTCTAATAGGTTCAAACGGTTCAATCAAACCATGAACCAAGACCTTCGATATTTCGGTCTCCAGTCTAATGTGAAACTTCTCCTAGTGGAGTGGGATACTCCTATACTGATCCTACTGTAGGAAATAATCATACAGCTTCCCAACCAATTGCCTCCTACGACCATTTCCATGTTCCTTGAACGGTTGGTACTGCTGGTTGTGTTCTTTGTCTTCTCTAGGAGAACTGCACCAACCAGGTTATGATTTTTTTAAGATAAGGGAACAAAGTCCCAGCATCTACCTTCCGTGGATAGTACACAGCTGATAGTTGGAATACAAAAAAGCCTTAAGGCTTGCACACACGAGAAAAAAATAGAGTTCGGCCTAGCTAGTGAGCGCAACGAAAGGAAAAAACTAGCTCATGATACGATTCGTAAAGCTCCATCCAAACTTGCCGAAAATTTCTAAAATTAAGGTCTCCCATTTTTTGCAGCCCACCTTGAACAGTGTCACTCGTCTTCTCTATGTTGCATGGACCACTGTCGGATCTAGAACGTCGCCATGAAAATTACCTGTGCAACAGTGTTAGAATTAGCCTTGTTAAATACCATATAGTTGTATTCAACCATAGCGCCCAACAAAGTGCGGCTGCTCCTTGTAAAATTTGGTTTTTGGTTTTGGGACATAGAACATGAAGTTAAGAACCAAACAAATTAGCAAAACTAGTGGGTGGTTGAATTCCAAATGAGATATGAACAGTGCATTCCAAACAAAGCTAGCAAGGTGGCGGTCAAAGAACAAGTATTGGATAGTTTCAATCGAACTACATAGATAACACCTAGCACTTCTTTGCCAATTTCTCTTCGCTAAATTATCTTTCGTAAGTGTTACCTCCTAACCTAGTTGTGATAACTATGATAAATAGATACAGAGAACGATCTTTATTCAAATGACTCTTCAAATAATGACGATTTAGAGACGAGTGAGTTTAAGAAAGACCCTTGAGATGCTTTTAGCCAACTTTATAAATCGATTTCTAGATGCATATCATCCTAGAAACCATTTGTAGAGATGGTTCTTGATAGAGCTGTCTCCACCTAAAAGGAATGGCGCCTCTAAAAATAATTGATGTAGCCATGGTAAGCATGCAATTCCATTTTATTTTCATTTTTAGGAGATTTCACGACTCTGTTAATGAACAATCACATGGAATGCTAATGTTACACACTACTACACAAATCTGTTTGGAGGCGGTCGTTTTCGGATAACTGATGCGAGCAAAGCAACCGCTTCCGTCTAAAGGTATGCGTTAATGTAGACCTACGGAGGCGGTTGCTTTGCCCGCCTCGGTTAATCGCAGTTAACGGAGGAGGTCACATTGCGCGTCTGTGTAAATGAAACAAAAAAAACCAAAAAAAGAAGAAACACCCATGGATAAGCCTGTTGAGCCCATCCATAGGCCTACCGAGCCCACCCACGCGCTGCTGCCACAGCCGCTCTTAGATCTTAGCACCTCCGCAGCTAGAGAAGGGATGGGCCCCACGGCACCGAATGTCGTGCGCCACACCTACACCACCGAATCCAGCCGTGCCACCACCGGATCCGCGCCTCCAGAACCAGATTCACCGTCGGGGGAGCACAGGCGGCCAGATCTGCTGCTGCTCGGGTGGGGGAGGGGCACAGTCGCCGTTGCTTTAGGTGGGGAGCAGCGCGGCCGGTGATGGTGAAGGGAGAGGAGAGAGCCAAGAGAGGCACGCGAGAGGTGCGGCTGATGCCGAGGGAAAGAGTGGTGTAAATCCAACTCGGACTGAAACAGAATAGATGGATAGAAATAACACGAAAACGAGAGGCAGAAAAAAATAGGGTAGAAATTTTGCTTCTTTAGTATTAGGTATAGAAATGTGAAGCCCCTCTATTTCATTGAGATTGTTTCATTGAGATTAGAGTGGGAAAAGAAAGAAATCCACATGCGCGTGCACTTGCTTGCCTCACCCGGCGCGAGCACAGTTCAGGTTGAACGGTCTGTGGGAGAGTGACCTCCTTTTGAAGTTTTATAGTTTTTGTTAGTTGGCATGTGGGAGAGTGACCTACTTTTGAAGTTTTATAGTTTTTGTTAGTTGGCCTCTATGTTTGCAAATAGGAATTCTATAGACGCTTTAGATCGTGAGGGACTGCCCTAGATAAGCAACAAATAGGAATGGGTTTATTGTTTTGCCCCTTTTTCGATGTTGCGCCAACCA